CCAAATCTTCGAACATGAGTCGTTTTTAATTTTTTTTTTTTTTAAGACTTTTCATCCCTCTTTGCTTGAAAAATTTTTCCTCACGCTTTCAAATAGTAGATACAGTTGATGCAACATGTAATTGATAAAATTTATGGGAAGTTAATTATACGGACAAAATATTAACGAGTTTGAGTCACTTATTGTATTCGAAGCGGATTTTTTACTATTAAGTTGCTGTTACATTTATATAGATTATTTCAATGCAATATCCGTGGTTAAGAATACTGATTTAAAAGAATTGAGAAGCGGTCGCTCCATGCAAACTGTATATCTATATTAGGGTGCTTCAAAAAAACTTTTTAATTTTTTTTTTTTAACTCTTACCCTCTCAAATGTGTCTATTTGATATAAAAAAAATCCTTACCAAACATGAGCCCTATAGCTCAACTCCAAGGGGTCGCTATTTTTATTTTAGTTTCCTATTTAATTGACATGGGAAAAATTCTTTTTTGTTTTAAATTGAATTTACACATAATTTACGCAATTTTTTACAAAAAACGATTTTATATTCTTAAAGTAGAGTCTTTGAGCTTTACAAAACTCTAAGACAAAGTATGATTATCGCTACAAAAAGACTAGTTACAGCCATTTAAAAATTACTAAATTTCGAAATTCAAAGAAATAGTTGGCAATTGGGTCATTCCATGTCAAATCGACAAATAGTTGGAATCGATCTCTTTTGATTTGGACAAATTTTGGTCAGAAGTTTTCGTTTATCATAAAACGAAGTTCTGCCAAAGGAAAAACAATAAAAGATTTTTTTCAAAAGATATGCAAATTCAAAATTTCGCAATTTTTTTAGTTTTTCAATTTTGTTTTTGTAATATCTCGAACGCTATTGTAGATATAGGAACGGCTTTTTGTTTGTTTAAAAGGGGGCACTTAGGGTTATTGAAAAAAAAATATTTTGGAAAAAAATTTTCAAAAATGCCAAATTTGTCAAATTTTGAATTTTTGATAATCGTTAAAAATGACGATCGAAGTTAAAATTTTAGCTCAATTTTTTTTGTGTAATACATTGTACTCATCTTAAAAGATTCTGAAATTTTTAGAAGGGTATTTTTTTTTCAAAAATATCAATTTTTGAATTAAAAAAATTTTTTTTTCGTTTTTTGCAACTTTCAAATAAGGTAAAGTTATGCAGATAGTATTGTAATTTTGAGGATTAAAAATTGAATGCATCACGTGGAAATATTGAATAATAAATTAATTTCAACTTTTTTTTTTATTTTTCATGCGTTAAGGATGACTTTGAGATCATGTCCAAAAAATAAAAAAAATTTAAAATTAATTTATTTAAATTTCGAAATTTAGTAATTTTTAAATGGCTGTAACTAGTCTTTTTGTAGCGATAATCATACTTTGTCTTAGAGTTTTGTAAAGCTCAAAGACTCTACTTTAAGAATATAAAATCGTTTTTGTAAAAAATTGCGTAAATTATGTGTAACTTCAATTTAAAACAAAAAAGAATTTTTCCCATGTCAATTAAATGGGAAACTAAAATAAAAATAGCGACCCCTTAGAGTTGAGCTACAGGGCTCATGTTTGGTGAGGATTTTTTTCATATCGAATAGAAACATTTGAGAGGGTAAGAGTTAAAAAAAAAAATTAAAAAGTTTTTTTGAAGCACCCTAATCTATATATACAAACAAAAGAATTGAAATTATTGAAAAGAATTCGAATTTCATCATTTTTAATTTTTCTCAATCAATATTTTTAAACAGAGATGCATAACAACGTAAATCAAAAAAACCTTTGTATCTCTACGTTTCAGAGTTTTAGATTAATATAAAAGTATTATAATTTTATAATATGATAAATAATGAAATTAAAAGCTAAATTCTTTTTCGCTGATTGTCTAAAAAATAGTTAACTATTCAATAATTTGATTTATTCTAATTTATCTGAGTACTCGAGTATTTGATCGACTTTGTGAAAGCTTAAGTTTTCTGTGAATTTTTTTTTAATTTTTCACTAAGACAATTCAAAATTTTCTAAAATTCGAGTTGTTTATAATTCGATTTTTCATCATAGAGTTTTCATATAATTTTGATGTTTTTCAACATTCAAAAAAGTCTTGCTTGACTCATGTGCCTTTGAAATTTGAACCAAATTAGTCACATAGACTTAAAAAATTTCAAAAACTAAGTTATGGTTTGAATATTATCCAAAATGTATTTAAACTATTAACTAGAATCAAGACTGTAACAATGACTTGGATAGGTTCCGTATCAATCAATAAAATAATAAACTTGGCAGAAAAATTTTTTGTAGGAAGATTTAGGCATAATTTTATTAAATCAAAATCAAAACAATCTTACAGTTGTCTGTTTCATCAATTTAAATCGATATTTGTCTTGTAATATATTCATTAGAAAAGTGTATTGGATTATATTAACTTGCTTTCTTCTCTATACCATTACATTTTTATTATCCATAAACTTCTGAATTAGTTCCATATGATTATTAATTTTATAATTCATTTTTGATTTCTTTACATATAAATTTACTTTGAAATTTTTATTAAAATATGAGTGTTTACATGATTAATTATATATTAAAATTGTTCAAATATATTTGGCATTTAATGTATTGAAAATAACTACAAACAATTTATTTATCAAAAAAAAAAAAGAATCAATGCTTTTATAAATTTTATATTTTTTACACCATTTTATTTTTTAATATTTCATCAATATATAATATATTTTATAATTATTAGATAAAATTATTGTATTTATATGTGAACATATTTTTAAGCTCATGCTTTTTTTTTTTGAAATTTATAATTTCAAAAAATCCTTAAGTATTAAAACAAATGAAAATTATTTAACATATCATGTATCAAGAAAAGATTATATATAATAATTATAATTATTAATAGTAATTAAAAAAAATGTTCAGTATCAACTTAATCAGACATAATTTCAATAATCTTAAGTCAAATCACTGGTAAATTACCTATTTAATGAGACGATTCTTAATATTGAATCAATTTACAATACTGATGCAGAAAAAAAAATTTTTATGCAATATATTCCATAATATATTAGTTTATTTATATTACTTTTATTTTTCTTTATTAATGGCTTTGATATTATTACTTTAATTTTTAATGACACAATAAACGTAGTTATTAGGTATCTGATACGATCAATTATAATATTAATACACTAGTCTCAAGTTTGGCAATCGCGTAATTAATTCGCACATGTGTATTATAATTATTCGTACAAGATTGTTACAATAATTTGGTGAATAAATCACTTGAGAAAGCCCTCTAAAGCGTCAACAGAGAGCCCCTTTAATTCTGTAGGTTCAAAACCAAAAATTCGACTTTGCATACATACTAAATCATTAATGAATGCGAATGTGACAATTCAAAATTTCAAATGTTTTATTATAACAGCATTGTGGATAATTAAAATTTTAATCGGCAATTCATTGAAATTAGAACTGCCATAAAAAACTTTTCATTTTTTTCTCGAGTATCCTATGAAAATATAATATTTTAGACTTTCAAAAATTAGCTCGATTGAAAAAAAGTTAGAATGTGTAAGCCACGCCAGAAAGAAGTAAAACTTATAGCTTATTGTCTATTTATACAGATAATTAAGATTTTTTTTATTGACAAATAGTATTGAGAATATTGAATTAGCGGAAATAATCCTAAATAGTCGATGCGACTGCGACCTTAATTTTTCACAATATTTAGAATTTTAACTCTTGTCAGCAAGAATATTTCAATACATAGATTTTTAGGGGCCGCTAAATTTTTTGAAGACTTAGGTGACCTCTAAAAGTTTTAATTGAGCTGATTTTTGGTGAGAACTCTTAAAATATAAGCATATTTTCATCGGAAATTTGAAAAAAAAAAATAATCGTTTTTTTTGCGTCGTCTTACGAGATATCATTTATTTTTATGTTACAAAAATGTTATTATTCACATAAGCTTATTACAATTCAAATGTGTTGTACAGTGTTTCACCTCTAAGATATTTTAGTTGTGTCAAATTTTTCCATTAGTTATTATCAAGAGAAAAAAAAATAATAACCTGTTATATCTTAGGTAGAAGTACTGTACATAAAATTAATTAATAAAAAAAAATAACTTTTTTAAGCTTAGTGATATACATGTCGAAAAAATTTGCTTTAATCATACAACATAATTAAAGAAACAAAACCTCAAATCAAACACGAAATAAATATAAAAATATTAAGTTAATTAATAGATTAATAAAATAAATGTATATTTTTCTTGTATAAATATTTAATTACGATTTTATAACTAAATAAGTATGGTAAAGGAAATAAATGCATCCAAAATTTTATTTTTTTAATAGTTACCTTTTATCAGTTCATTGGGTAAATCAATTATATTTTTTTACCCTTAATAAAAATTATTGATAAATACAGTTAAGTTTAAAAGAAAAATTTTTATCAAATAATATGAGATTCCAAATTATTATAGTTATTTTCTATATTTGTTATTTTTCTCATTTAAATGTTTGTAAATATCTTTGTTGATTTTTTGGCAAGTTTGTGCGAAAACTTGACTTACTCATATCAATATTTCTTATTTAATCTCAAAAGGAATGCAACTCTCGAGACAACAATCATTAACAAAATGTAAATCTTTGAATCTTTGGTAGAAAAATCAACACATTCAATATAATTCTTATTTCTCTTTTTTTTTTTTTTTTTTTTTTCATAAATTCAATTTCATCTCAGCATTCAAAATTTTAATTAATTTTTACTACTATATTAAACATACAGGTATCCTTAAAACAAGTATTCAAATAAATGTTACAAATGTAGCTTTTAAGATAAAATATACCCGAAGATTATTTTAAAAATGTCTTGTAAAAAAATCATTTGTAATGTATTGAGTATTAATGGCACGTAAGAGACATAGATTTATGAATGGTTATTTATCATGTTTATAACATTTTATATTCTTAAGCTTTGTATCGATCTGATGAACCGATAGCGCAACAAAGAATAAGCGAAAATATCACACCGATTAATTCAACAACACAAAGTACTATTATTACTATAAGAACAATGTAGCCTTGGCTGCTGAGAACGTTTCTTAGCTTGTTGACGCAACCCTGAAAAACAAAAATAATTTAGTAAGTGAAAATTAGAAATTATTAATATCTGTTAGATTACTTCACGTTTAAAAAATGCATATCTATAAAATAAGAAGACTATTTTGTTGCCTAAAAGAACTGAGAGTTGAAGATCATAAATTATATCTTCAAAATTTTTATAAATCAGTCCGGAAAAACTGTTTAATGGGAGTACCTTTAGCTGTAAAAATTTCTGAGAACAGTAGCTACCCGATAGAAATTAGCAACGATACGATCGATTTACCAAAGAGAGGGAAAAACTGACTTTTTTTGACAGCAAATTTATTTTAGTCTCGATTACTGCCCTTAAATTATCTGTGTGGTTATTAATTGCTGAGATAGTAGTCGTTGAAGACTAAATTATCCACTATTCAAAGTCGGATATACGAACGAGAAATTAATGTAAAAAAAAAAAAAAAAAAGAAGTAAATGATGTAGGATAGGCAGGTTAGCTAATTCGTACAGTGCAAGGAAAATAAATATCGCGCTGATAACTATCCAGTGGATCGTGAACGTAGTATCGGGATGAGTACAAAACAGTTTCATTATTTTCATATGAAACTTCGAATCTTGATTACCACGATTCAAGTGTATTGTGAATTTGTCAATGCATATAGTGATGGTAAGGAAATGTTTCTCTGCTACGATGAAACGTATCGTGATCATCGGTATACACGTCTGCTGCGTCACCACTCATAACTAAGTTCTTAAGTTACTCGTGAATGTTTATATTCTGATAAAACAATATTTATTTATTATTTTAATTTATATTAACAGTATAATAATATTACTAGTGAAAATTTCAAAGCTAAAACAAAATGGAATTAATTTTTTGTAGAGCTCCCATACGTACATAACAATTCGGACGAACGTAACATTTTTAGTCCGGATCCATATAGATTGTGATCATCGCGATACAATGCATTGAGCATTTACGCATATAGAGTATAGTCACATGAGTATCATGATAATCACGATACTGTTTAGTGATGAGCGCGATACTGTTTTCTCCGTGTGGTTTGGCTGAGAAAATTTTTCCAAGCACGTGGAAATTTTTTTTGTGATTATTTTTTAAGATATGTGAGAACTGTGACATGAAAATTTTTGACTGAAAAATCGAAAAATTAAAATTTTGGAACTTTAAAAATTACAGAAAACTTGCAAAATTTTTTTTTGCTTTCGTTATTTTTGCAAAAAGTATAATTTCTATTAAACTTTTGTATTAATATTATATTATTGTATTAGATTTCTAAAATAAAAGTTTAATCGTTAAAAGAACGATTAAAATTTTTTTCAATTATGATCTAATTCTGTAACGTGAATATAGCAAGATGCTGTTTGTAATACAAAGAATAATGCCGCGCATAAAACTTTTTTCTTTATGTATAAGACTATGGTACAGATGATTTATGTTCTAAAGGCTTAATAAACTCTTTATTTGATTAATTTCTAGTAGTTATTTATATATTGTTTTCAAAATTACTTACCTTGGAGTAAATTTCTGATGGCACCAAGCCTCCAACTTTGATTTTTCGTGCAGTATTGCACAGATTGGTATCTTTGACTTTGCAGCAAGATTCAGGAACTATATAATCATTCTTTGGGCTAGATACAGTTAGACTTATTGGACCATTAGAGCTTCCATATTTAGAGCTGGCCCAATCATTAGGTCCACTTGCTCCGCAGCATTGCAAATTTTCTTGAATAGAATCGACAGTTTGAGTACGGTGATCTATTTGTCCATATTCATCCTAAAGATTAATGTTTTTATGAGTGTTAAAACTGTAATTTACCGAATTAACAATCCACCTGATAATTGGGAATAAATTTTTGAATAACTTCTACATTTTTACTCACTTTAACGGTATTCATGAAAGAAGCCTGGACCAAAGGTTCAATACCATCTCGATTAGTATACAGCCAAGCTCCAGCTGCGATCTGAGCAACTATGACCACAAGCAGGCAGCTGAAGAAGCCAACAAGCATGCATTGTGATTCACGGAAAGCTCCGCAACATCCCAAGAATGCGACGATCAGCAAAAGAGCACCCGCTGCAAGGGTGATGTACAATCCAGCATAATAATTATGCTGTTCTTGTGTTAATGATAAAATAAAGGTTTGGTCCACAAGCATCCATGTTCCAAAGACGACTGCAGTTAGACCAAGAACCTAAAATTTTATTTGAAAAACAGTCAATAACTGTGCAAAGAACGCCACTAATTTTTACTGAAATAGTTTTTGTAAATTTGATATAAAAAATAAAAAAATTTCTTTTTACTGATTCTCTGTTGCTCTTCAAAAATTCAGTAAAATAATTTGCTTTACAATAGTTTTCTAATACTCTAAACTTCATTAAATTCTGAACAATAATTTTAAGGCCGAGGATACTTTCTACAAATCAACAATAATTAATGGCTATGAGATGTTTTCAAAAAGATCCTCTTTTAAATTGAAAAATTAAAATTATTTATTAATATCAAACGTCAATGAAACATTTTAAGAAGTTAAGCAAAATCATAATTAGTGTTTTTTTAACTTCCTGCTAAGAAAATCTCAGATTTTCAAAAATCAGGAAGTTATTGTTTTCACCCCGTTTTGCAAAAATCGAGTTTTCATCAGATCTCGATGTTGAAAAGTCATAGGAAGCTTCCCTAACTATCCCCGCGATGTTGTCACTGTGTGTGTGTGTGTGTGTGTGTGTGTGTGTGTGTGTGTGTGTGTGTGTGTGTGTGTGTGTGTGTGTGTGTGTGTGTGTGTGAATCGCTTATAACTTTTGAACAACTGAACCGATCGGAACCTACCAAACGGCGTTCTAAAGAGTTCTCTCAAACTTAGATTTCCTGAGAATTTGAACCGATTCGGACCGATAGA